ATTTACCACCTGGGAAACCCAAAGGGGTTCAGTATGAGTCAGAATTGACTCGATGGCAGTGACTGGTTTTTTTGGAAGGAGGGCAAAGAGCTCTCTGGTGGTGTAATGGATAAGGCACTTGCCTGCTAATCAGAAAGTGAGAGATTGAAACCCACCAGCTGCTTTGTGGAAGGAAGATGGGGTAGGGTGACCTACTTCTGTAAAGATTTATAGCCTCAGAAAACCCAATGGGAGTTTGTTTTTTGGTTATAAGGTAAGGGGTAGGAGAAAGTGTGCTAAAGGCAGAGGCTGGGAGGCAGTTCCAGACAGCTCAGGAGAGGGAAATAGGAGGAAGGAGGAGGAGCCAGGAGCAGGAGATAGATGAAGAGAGTTCAAGGATGACTTTGCAAACAGATAGACTCTACAGTCAGTTGTTTTTTTGTTTTTTTTTTCTTTTAAATAATTAAGACAGGCAGTCCTTGGTGACAGGTGGATTTGAAAGCCCGTAAGTGCTGTAAGTACCCACACACACACACCCCAGTTGCAGATTTACATAAAAATAAGCAGTAGTTGCACAAAGCTATCTTTTCCTGTATCTTGTGAGGAGGTATTGTTGGGCTGTTTTTCCACATACACACCTATCGAGGGGGTCTAGAATCAACTAGATCCTTGTCTGTTATTCATCTGTTATTTACATAGAAATATATTCGGAATGTCCTGAGCCCTTTGGCTTCATATAATTTCTTAAGTACTGAGCCTCAGCCAACTCCCCAGAAGTGACTCCAGTTTTCACCAGGCTTCCTGCTGTGTGAGCAGAGCTGAGTGTGGGACAAAGGTAAAAGTGGGAGAAGTTGAAACACAGGCAAGTTTTATCAGCCTGTTGTTATTGTTAGTTGTTGGCTAGTCAATTCTGATTTATGGTGTCCAGAATAGAACCGCACCACAGGCTTTCTGAGGTTGTAACCTTTCAAAAGCAGATCACCAGGCCTGTCTTCCAAGGCACCTCTGAGTGGCTTCCAATCGCCAACCCTTCTTCTAGTAGTCATGTGCTTATTAACCATTTGTGCCACCAAACAACTGGTTTTTCAGCCTATGAATTTAAAAAAAATCTAGGCTGCTGACTTCCCCCTCTCTTTTCCTATTGGTAGCTCGAGGGATATAGTTATATTAATTCCAGCCTGGGCTGAGAAAAATTGTAAAGGTAAACCAATTGTCAAAGATATTCTGAATGTCTCAGAAAAATGCCTGACTTTTCCCACTGTTTTGGATCATGTAGGCCACTGTTTGCCTCCATTAGTAACCAGAATGGTATTCTGGAATAACCTGTCCAGGTCTAAACCATGAACTGGCCTCAGACATACATACAAATATGCACACGTCCCTTTACAAATTCAAAAGTCTGTATGCATTTGTGGAGCTGGAAAAGACATCAGAGGGCAATCCTTCTATTTCACTGAAGAGAAAATGGAAACGTCTAGGGCCTGGATAGGAGCTCTGGTGGTGTAGTGCCTAAGGCACTTGACTGCTAACCAGAAGGCTGGAGGTTCAAACCCACCAGCCACTCCCCAGAAGGAAGATGGGGCAATTACTTCCGTAGTGATACTGCCTCGGAAACCCAAGGAGGGGTCGTTATGAGTCGGGTCCAACTCGATGGCATATAACAACAACAACAACAAGCCTCCTAATTAGGCAAAGAGGAAGGGAGCTATCTTTGATTCAGCCAACCTCTCTTAAATCTCACATTAACTTCCAATTCAAAGATAGAAACGCTGTGATTCAAAGAACTAAGTAACTTGCCCAAGGGCTCTCATTTAGTGAGTAGTGGAATATGACTTTGAGTCTAGGTGTGTCTAACATAAAAGCCTGTGTATTCCGTCTATCCACAATGCTTGACTACAAAGGACAGAAACAGAAGGGGCACTTGAGAACAGAGGGAAATAAGCAGGGGCATTAAAAGTTAGCAAATTTATAAGAAGCAAAAAGTCAGGTATCACCTAAACACTACTCCAAGCCCTCCTCTCAAAGGGCATCCCTTGAGTTTTGGGATTCAGTTTAAGTCAGAAATAAACTTTTTTGGTTTTTATTATTTTAAAAATATTGTATTGAGTGTTTGATGAAAGTTTACACAGCAAATTAGGTTCCTATTCAAACAATCTCTACACGTATTGTTCAGTGACATTGGTTACATTTTCTATATTGTATCAATATTCTCATTATTTCTGTTCTGGTTGTTCCATTATTTTTTGTTGTTGTTGTCATTTTAATTTTTATTGTGATTTGGGCGAAGTTTACACTGCAAATTCATTTTCCATACAGCAGTTCATACACATTTTGTGTAATGACACTGACTGCAATTCCCCTCAATGTAATAGCTCTCATCCCACTTCCTCCCTGTAATTACCTCTTCCCTGTGTTCTTCAGAAATAAGCTTTTTATGAGTGGCTGCTGGCTGAGCCCAAGAGGAAGGACTTCAACACTCAGCTTTTTAATGCATGATTTTTATTTGCAAAAGATAACCCCACGATACAATTCCGGCAATCTAGAAGTTTGCAATATTAAATAAATAAACAAATAAAAATGAAAAGATGTTTACAGGCTAATGGGGAAACCAATATTGCATGCATTATCTAACAAGAAACTTCATCAGAATTGATGTGTCAGGAAAATAGTCTCCTGGAAAATGTAATAAACAAATCTAACTGGTAAAAACAATGGCATCTTCATCTGGACATGGATGAAGACACAAGTGTAGGTTTGAGGGATGCAAGGAAGGGAGGGGAAGGAGCCAAACTTCAAGGCGCTAGTAAGTGCTGGTGGTGAAGCGGTGGAGCTTAATTTGCCCATGACAGAGAAAGGGAAGGCAGATATGTAGGTCGTGGAGCTCTGACTTTGTCACTGGGGGGGGATGAGGGGTGTCGTCGGAGGGATGGGTGCAGTAGATAGACTACAGATAGGATCATACTAATATAAATAATCATCTAAGGAGAAAAGTTAGTACTAGGGCTAATTATATCCAAACCAAACTCACTGCCTTCCAGTCCATCCCGAGTCATAGTGACCCCTTCTTGGGTTTGTGACGCGATAGCTCTATGGAAGTAGATTACTCAATTTTCCTTTCCAGGAATGGCTGGTGGGTTTGAACCGCCAGCCTTCTGGTTAGCAGTCAAATGACTTAGGCACCAGAGCTCCCAGCTAATTACATATTAGGAGTGAAATGGGCAAGGGCCTTTTCAACACAAGCGGAGGGCGTCTGCCTTGGCCAGAAGTTAAGGTCAATTCTGAGAATAGAAAGAAGAACGCTTAAAATTTTAAATGATTTTCAGATGGAGAGGCGGAAGTTGAGGTCACTAGAGTGCTGGGCTTTGTAAGAAGTTCTCTCTTAGGCCAGGAGGGGTGTGGTGGTTACTAGCTTCAAAAGAGTGAATAAAGTCTTGAAAGTGTGCTGGGAAGAACTGAGAACACACTTAACAGGGGATGCAGGCGTGGAAATAGCGACCAACAGCTGATAGGCACGGTCTGGGGCCCTGGAAAGGGCGGCGGGTGCACCTGGATCCCTGTTGTACACAGCTGGGTCACAGCGGGACCACCCCCCGGGAGCAGGTGGCAGCGAAAAGGCAGGCCCGGGAACAGCGCAGACGGGCGCGCGCCCGCACGAAAGCGACCTGCGGGTAGAGCGCGTGGGCCGCGCGGCGGGCCGCCGGGAGTGAGAGGCGGGCTTAGCGAGCGGGCCTCCGCGCGCCACTGGCACGCACGCGCAGACGGGCCGAGGGGGCCCGGAGGCACAGAGGAGGGGGAGCGAGAATAGGGGGAGTGGAATGTATTTCCGCTCTGGCGGACAAATAATCCTGGCCAAAGGGGAGGCAAGGCTGTCCGGCCCCTTTAACCGCGTCGGGGGTGGTGGAGAAGAAAGGGGGGTCAAGAAGGGGGGATCCTGCTCCTTTAATTCCCTCCCCTCTCCCTCCCCTCTTCCTCCTCCGCGAGTCCTCGCCAACGCTGCCGCGCGCGGGGCCTGGGACACACGGCACGAGCCGCCCCCGCCCCTCCCCCTTACGCCCACGCGGAGCCGGCCCCGCGCGCGCGCCCCGTGCACCCTCGCGCCTGCGCTGTACCCAGGACCTGCCCGGGTGTGTGGGGGGCGCAGCCAGCCCTGGGGGGGTGGGGGAAATAGAGGGAAAAAAAAACAGCGTGCGGAACCGGGCCAGGTGAGAGGCGTGTGC